CCCCCCCCGTTTCAGGGAAAAGCCACCCAGGCTCCAGCCAAGGCCGTTCGCATGATTCTGTCCCCTGCAAGGACACAGCTCTGGCATTTCCAGCCTTCCCCTTCCACAGCGTCACTTTTCTTATGGTGTCGTCCCATTCATAAATACACATGCAGTAGTGGCCACCGTCGTTTCACATTTATCTTATTAAAACTTTTTAATGTTTATTTTTGAGAGAGAGAGAGAGAGAGACAGAGACAGAGTGCATGCAGGGGAGGAGCAGAGAGAGGGAGGGAGACACAGAATCCGAAACAGGCTCCAGGCTCTGAGCTGTCAGCCCAGAGCCCGACGCGGGGCTCGAACCGATGAACCGTGAGACCTTGACCTGAGCCCAAGTCGGACGCTTAACCGACTGAATCACGCAATGTGCCCCAGTAGTCCCCATCTTAAAACAAATCCTCTCCATCCACATAACAACCCGGTTCTCGTCAGGCTTTATTTATTTATTTATTTTTGCTTCCTCAACTGAAATTGAAAGTTTATTTATTTATTTATTTAAAAAAAATTTTTTTTTCAACGTTTATTTATTTTTGGGACAGAGAGAGAGCATGAACGGGGGAGGGGCAGAGAGAGAGAGGGAGACACAGAATCGGAAACAGGCTCCAGGCTCTGACCCATCAGCCCAGAGCCCGACGCGGGGCTCGAACTCCCGGACCGCGAGATCGTGACCTGGCTGAAGTCGGACGCTCAACCGACTGCGCCACCCAGGCGCCCCTGAAATTGAAAGTTTAAAATTGACAAATCATGTTTAAAAAACTCGCCAATCTATGATTTTGTTCTGATCATTCCTTTGCATCCAACAGCCTACGAACAATACCGTATCCAAGGACACACGGTTTTTAGGAACACGCGGCTCTTTCAACCTTAGGAGAGATATTAACGTGACACAGTCAGTGCCTTGGTAGTTCAAAGGGAAAAAAGCTTATTATTTCCACAAATACTACAATGGTGTTTTACAAATCAATACCCATTCTTCTTTTTTAAATTTTTTAAAGTTTATTTATTTTGAGAAAGAGAGAGAGTGCAAGCAGGGGAGGGGCAGAGAGAGAGAGAGAGGATCCCAAGCAGGCTCCGCACTGTCAGTCCAAAGCCCCACGTAGGGCTGGATCCTACAAACTGTGAGCTGAGCCGAAGCCAAGAGTCGGATGCTTAACTGATGGAGCCCCCCCCCAGGCTCGGTACCCCCCTTGATGCCTATTCTCGATAAAAGAAACAAAAACAGCTCTTGGTAACCCATGAAACGAGGGATACTTTCTCAACATGGTAAAGAATAGAGAGCAGCTAATGTCATGCTTAACACTGTATAAGTGAACACTCCCCAAAGCGTGTCCTCAGAAAAATGGATCTGGTGCTTCATACAGAAAGTAATATCCTAGTGTAGGAGTTAAGGTAATGTAACGTACCCCAACATTTCAGAAGCTTATCACAGTAGGAATGTGTTTCTCCCTCACGTAACAGTCCTCCATGGATGTTTCCAGTAGGTGGGCAGGATTTCTCCGTCTGGCGATTCAGGGACTCAGGCTTCTTCCATCATGGGGGCTCTAGCATTGCCCAGGACCTTGGAATTGGCTTCCAGCTGGTGTGCAGGAAAAGACAGACTGCAAGATCCAGAGTATCTCAATTACTCTGTGGCACGCCTCGCTTCCGTTCACACTCTGCAGGCCTGAGCCAGGTTTAGGAGGTCACTTGTCCGCAGAATTTCGCGCGAGACCTCCGGGGAGGAAGACGGGCAATCCTGTTCGTAGTGGCAGGAGGGCATGTTAGGACCCCCGGGATGGGGGACGTCCTGCTAAAAATCTCCCACATTTTAAAATATGGCATATCCTTTGACCTCCTAAACTCACCTGTAGCAATTTGCACCGCAGTTATGTTCGCGAACGTGCAGATTTACACGGTAAGGCTGGATGCATCTCACGATGACGTCCCGTGGCCGCTGATTCAAATGACCGCAAACTTGCCGACTTCAACAACAGAAATGTATTATCTCGAAGTTCTGGAGGCCAGAAGGCCAAAATCAGCATCACCGGGCTCGAATCAAGGTGTCGGCGGGGCCGTGCTCCCTCTGAAGGCTCTGGAGAGATTCCTTCCTTGCCTCCTCCAGCCTCTGGCGGCTGTGGGGACGCCCCCGTCCCCGCCTTCAGCTTCACATTCTGGTCTCCACGTGCGTCTTCTCTTCTACATGTGTTGGACCTCCCTCTGCCTCTCTAAGCACACTTGTAATCTTCTCAGATTAGCTTCTTTCACTTAGTAATGCGTATTAGCGTTGCCTCCGTGTTTTTTCATGACTTGACGGCTCATTTGCTTTTAACCCCGAATAAATATTCCATTGTCTGGATGGACCACGGTCCATTTATCCACTTACCTACTGAAGGACAACTTGTTTGCTTCCCTGTTTTGGGAATTATGCAGAAAGCTGCACACATCCGTGTGCAGGTTCGCCTGGGGAGGTGAATTTTCAACCCGTTTGGGTAAATACCAAGAAGCCCGATTGCTGGATCGTGTGGGAAGATCGTCTGGGCCAATTCCTACCCACCACGTTCACCCTCCCAATGCCTCCCTGTGTCCCTACACAACCAGCACCCCGGCGCCCATGTGATTAGTCTGTTTCTCACCGGTGCTCATGCATGTGGCACGTTCCCACCGTGTCTCCACCCAGGGTGGGAGGGGGCACAGCCTCCATTCCAGCAGGACAGACTCAGGCAGTGAAATGCGGGGCTGAGGGCAGCTGGGGGGCCCCGAGTCAACCGCTGACAGACTCGCCCAAGTGTTTGGTTTCTGAATTGTGTAAGGATGAATTCTGTAAGTAGTTTTTGAGTTGCGGTAAAATACACATAACGTAAAACTTACCATCTTAACCATTTCTTTTTTATTGTTTTTTTTTAAGTGTTTTTACTTATTTTTGAGACAGAGAGAGACAGAG